AGATTCACAGTTTCACTATCGGTCACTTTATTATTTTAATGCCTGGAAGTTTCTGGCTTTTAATGAAAAAGGTAGGTTCCATGTTCACTCAGATATTATGGACATTTCTGATACAGGTGTCAATCACAATTAGTAACCAGTTTCAAATCGTTGACTTTTTTGAGGCCTTCTGTACCTGATTCTCCTGGTACTGTGAGTTTCGTTGAGCAACAATCCAGCAAATGAAATGTCAGTTAAATGATGTAAAATCACAATACCACGAGAGAAGAACTAATAATCTGTCAACAATATTGGACATGTGTAATCTACGTGTGCGAGTTTCAATGTAGTCCTTGAGATCTAAGGGTTCTAGGTCGTCCATTCGGCAACCTTCTTAATTATGAGTAATTTCGCCTCGTCTGCGTTTTCGTGTGTTGTCAAAAGCTGGAGAATACATGGACGTGCATCTATAAGTAGGCCTATTGCTTTATACATTGATTAGTTGCCGGTCGCTACGGGAACAATGCGTGCAATGTATACGAAAGTCTTGCACTTTCAAGATTCTCAGAAGCTTGTGCTCATGAAGGTTGTAACATTTCAGGGCATTCAGAAACTGTTGAATGTAGGAAGAGTAGTGAGTTTTTTTAGATTAAACCTTATTCTGTCAGTACATTCGTTATTGTCTCCACCATAAATTCTTTACGATATGTTTTATCTTCTGTTATAATGAAACCATTGTTAATGTTGTGCAACACGTGTTTTCATCGTGCTCTAATATATTTTGAAGAGGAATGTGTCTTTGCGATTTCATCGCAGTGTTTCGAAACCCTACTAATTATTCTGGCCTTCTCTTTCTCTCTAAACTTGTAAAAGTTCAGTGAATTTATGGTTGTTTTTTGAAAGAAGTGCTTTGATGGGAATTCTGACCCTTGTCTGTGCTCCCTATAACCGAGAAGGTGAAGATCGTTTTGTTCAAAGTATTTGTCAGAATATTTAGCTCCTGCATCGGAAATACTGTAACGTCTTAGCTTGGATATCAATCAATCAACATGAACGTAGAACTTCGTATGTACGTACATCAGTTCAGGTTGCCATAACAAATCAGCACAGAGATGTCAGATTCCATAGTAGTAGAGTTAGTAGAAGTATTAGCTGTAATAGATAACAATACGGTTCTTATGTGTATTATTCAAGAAGTAGGTTCTTGTCAAATAAAAAGATAAAGATGAAGAATCCAGAGGGTTAGGACTTGACCGAACACGAAGAATGGATGCATATGCGTCATCGCGAACAGTTTTGAGCCATGTCATTCAGGGTCTCTGACCATCTTAGCTTAGATGCTTCCAAAACTATCCAAAATATCCTAAGTTTCTGCTCAGCTCATAATACTTTAGCGTTTTCCTTGTTGATCTATCATCACTGACTTATGAATCCTGGACATATTAGCGTTAGGTTTCCTATTGACTCAAGATTAACATGGAGTCTTCCTATACTAGATTTATTGCTTTTGTTTTCGTACTCTGAGTTTTAACTTCCCTTGTAACCTAATTGCTACTCTTGAACCCATGGTATTCAAAGATTACTCACGTAGCTTTGGAATAGACAATCATTGGTATTTATGTGCTCTCACTCACTGAGTCAAGTGTGATTATAATATCAGTGTGCTACAGTCAATGACTAGTGTTTTCATGACTAAATTTCTATTTTCTGGTAACAATATATTCTTGTTATTGGTATCAGTTAATGACTTTCCCACCAGTTGAGTAGTGAAAAAGACTAAGGCTGAATGTTTCGACAGCACTTCTTTGTTTCTTTCTGTCAAATTGTTTGGTTCGAGATGTTTATGTAGAATGTGATAAGACTTGCAAAATATCGTAGTAATCCATGACTAACAGTGCTGTCACGCAATCATAAAACAGCTAAACTATGTGATTTCACGCATAAAACTTATTTGTAGCAACTTTACCTTTTTATAGAGAGCTATTATATTTTATATTTGCTTCTTGTTTGTTCATGTTGTTATACTTATTAGGTAAAGTCCAAAGCCCAGGGGGATCTTCTGAAGGTGGTGGTTCCTTCAATTTTAACAATGTGGATATACTTAACTCCGGCAATAAGGGACGTCCTGGAGGTTCTGGAGGAGGCTCTGGAAATGGCACTGGCTCTTTCATAAAGTGTAACAAATGCGGTGGTCGTTTAAGATCCATTGTTCCAACTACATCATGTAATCTTTTTGTGACAATGATTTATTTGAAACAAGGTTTTCGGGTTAATTATATGAGCTTGTAGGCATTTTCAGTTAAGAATGCTTCAGTGTTTTCTCACTATACCTAGTTATATTTTAATTCATACTGTTCTTACTATACCACCACTTCAACGAGCAGGTGGGCATAAAATTTTATTATGCAAGTGGATTACAAAACAAAAAACTAGTGGTAACCGCTTAGTTGTGCAGTGATTGGTAAATGAATCTTGGATGCTAGCTAATAATAAATTGGTCTAAGTTTTTACGCATTTTAATCATTATTAATTGGAAAGTAAAAAAACAATGTGAACCGTAACCAGCATAAAACGTGAAACGTATTTGCTTCAGTTCGTTTTATCACACCATGTCGGCAATGAGAATACCGAATAGCAATAAAAACGCATTACGTTAATGACCTCACTATATCAAGATAAAGGACCGATTCGACTTCCACTTCGTGTATCTGAAGCCCCACCGCTGGTTCCCATGACCTTGCTTGTATAGGTATAGCATTAAGTTCTAAAGTAGAACTAGCTCTCTTAGACTGAACTCTAGCGGACAGTCACCTATGCGCTGTCCAGCAAAACGGGACAGTAAGGACTCGGAAGTATGAGGACACTCGCAGTTGCCTCTGACTACGCTCCCGCTGATTGCGGCTCGGATGAGATAAAAGATGAGTTTTACAGGAACCTTTCTAACGTTCTTCAAAATGTTAGGCGCTCAGATATAGTAATAATGGCTGATGACTTTAATGCTCAAGCAGCTAGACTCGGAGAAAAGTAAAGACACCTGGGCGGATCTTATGGTGTTGTGGCTAATAGAACAGATGGTGGTGACTGTCTGCTACAGCTATGCTCAGATAACCGCCTATTTCTAGCAAACACTAACTTTAAACACGAGAAAAACATCTTTTGACATAAAGACCCTCGAAATCTGCTCAACACCGGATCCAACTGGATCACATCGCTCTCAGCCACCGATAGAGAGGTTCGATAGAAGACTGTCGCTCGTTCCGGAGCACATCTTTAGATGCGGATCATGCCCTAATGCGAACGTGTATTTGTTTGTGACTTACTGTACATAGCAGAGACACCAAAAGGAAACCTCTTAGTATTCTACCTAATGATAGCATAGCTAAGAATATATTGCATAAACAACTAGGAAAAAGTTAGGTGACCGTGTAGGGGATACTCATCCGGAGGCAGCTTAGAATGATATCCAAAAAGCTGTGAAAACAACAGTAATATCTGCCAGTAAGGTAAACCATAAGTTATTAAGAAGCCGTAGATTTCAGTAGCATCTACAGAACTGATGGATGCTCCGAAACTCATCTTTTTTGGCTCTGAGTACGATGAAGAACAGAGTCACCTTAGGCGCAGGCTGTGATAAAAGGCCTACGCAATGATTGCAAACATTGGTGAGTAGCGAAAGCGAGAGAAATATAAAATACAGCTGTGATAGGTAACAGCAGACGACTGTTCCGTCTAATCAAAGAAACTGGTATTAGGAACCCGAATGTGAGTGAAACTATCTCGGAAAAGGATGGGACTATTATTCATTCTCAATCCAGGAGATTGGATTGATGGGCAGAACACTTTAGGGATCAGTTCAATTTGCCTTCAGCCACACTTCGGTTGCCCACGATCTCCAGTCATTCAGAATGGGAAACCGACATAAGTCCTCCGAATCTTTATGAAGTTGAGAAAGCGATAGGAAATCTGAAGCGACGGAGATCAGCAGGTCCTGAAAGATTGAATCCCGAGATCTTTGAGGATGGTGATCTAGTTTTAGCAGCTAGATTGACTCAGATCTTAAGTAGAATCTGGGAACTGGACATAATCCCATCCGACTGGTGTCAATCCCTGATTGTCCTAATTTAAAAGAAAGGACAAAAGTCTTCTTGTGACAATCACAGGGCAATCAGTCTAACTAATATAGTTTCTAAATTGTTCACCTCGATTATCCTTAGTCGCCTAACTAGAGCTCGTGAAGAGCAGACTAGCGAAAACCAGGCTGGTATAAGTTCCCGGACGTGGCTGCATAGACCACATATTCCACTACTTCACGTCCTAGAACATAGACACACGTTCAGACATCCGAAAATAGTTGTCTCCCTTCATATTAAAGTGGCATTCGACTCTGTCGATCGTGAGGTTCTGTCATTGGAAGGCGTACCAGAGAAGTACATTAACCTTATACAAGCTCTCTACTCGAACACCACTGATCGAGTGAGAGCTTATGGTGAACTGTTATTGGAATTGATTACTTCAACTGGTGTTCATCAGGATTTTCCACTCTCTCCATTCTTGTTTAATTTTGTCATAGACATGCTCCTAGTCATAACATTATCTTCATCTGAATTATCAGGAGTTGAAATTTTACCGGCAAATTCACTTTTTGACTTAGAATATGCCGATGACAGTTCTTTTTGGTGAAGGCGCCGACAAAATGCAGTCTTCTGACCGCCTTAAGCAACAATGCAAGCATGTTCAGGATGCGGTTCTCCCCCTTGAAATGCGAAGTTTCGTTTCAGGACTGGCTTGCGTCGGCACCTGAACTAATGATAGAGAGTGAAGTAGTTGAGCGTGTTGACTACTTCACTTATCTTGAGAGTCTCATCAGTGCTGATTGCCTGATCACTGACAAAATCTCAGCTCGGATACAGAAGGCTCGATTGGCTTTTTTGCCAACTTGCGTCACCTATGGAGTAGGCGAGATATCCGTTTGCTAACCAAAGGACGAGTCTACTGCGCATCTGTTCGCTCCGTCCTACTATATGGATGAGAGACATGGCCAGTGAGAGTAGAGGATATTCGTAGGTTACTGGTTTTCGATCACAGGTGTCTCCGAAGCATTGCTCGTATATCGTGAGACCACCAAGTAAACAATACTGTTGTTCGGAAACTAATGCTAGGTATGGATGGCAGGTCAATAGTTGAATTATTGGAACTTCATCAGTTGAGGTGGTTGGGACATGTGGTACGAATGCCCAACCACTGACTGCTTCGATGAGTTGTTTTGTGGTGTAGGGGTAGACTGGAAGAAAGTTAAGGGCGGCCAAACAAAACACAGCCGAAATCCATGAAGTCACTGACAAGTTGATTGAGTCATATTGGTAAGTGTAGACTGTTTGATTGGGGGTCCGTGAGATGATATAAATCGATGGTTAGCGACCTCTCTTATTATGTGATGTAACTACTTGAACTGATGGTCATCTGTATCAGGTGCTGTGTTGATCCACGACAACTTTATTCCTTATCTGTTTAAAAATTTGTATGTACTCTAAAATTAATCCAGAGAATTCAAAACGACCCAAGTCATTTAAATATAACTTTGAGACTCCTTCAAGAGTCATGTCTTTTTCTAATCAAAATACCCTACCTCATCTTCTGACATCTGATAAGCACGTTTGTGATTTTGTCTTTTTTCCTATTCTTTTCAGTTCAATCCTTAATCTTAATATGCCAACCATGCATAACATCTGTTCTGTGTGAATTTGAATCTCATGATGGACATGAGTTCTATCAGGTGTTTGAGATTGTACTCTATGTGTCCCAAGAAGCTTTGTTACTGACTGTCTAAAGTCTTTCAGCTCTGTTACTAAGAAATGATTACTTAATCAGTCATGCTCTTTGAAGGATGAGTAATTAGGGGTTATATTGGTTATAGTTTTGTTTGAAATTGAATGATTTCTATGTGCAAACGAGTGAATTGTACTCGATGGATGAAAAGCAATATAGCTTCACCATTTATTGCAAACTATGTGCATAGCAGTCGTTTTGATTATTTACATTTCTAAATTGTTAATTTGTAATGTGTGTATGTAATTGACAACTTCATTCTATTGGGTTCTAGGATCAAGAGTTTCTTGTCTGCCTCTGTTTACGCAGCTAGATAGTATTACTAGAGGTCGAAAAATGTGGTTTAAGACTCAAGTACATGGGTTGATGCTTAGTTACTGAATTTTACTAAGCTATACTTAATTTTCCTAATTATTTACTGAGTGTTCGTTTTGCTTCATAAGTAAGCAATTTCGTAAACAACGATAGATACACTTATTGACTCTTCATATCCAACTGCATCTGTTTCTACAGACATATCACGTTTTATGGAGTGTGAAGCATGTGAACAGCTCTACGAATTAATAGATAAAAATGATCTCCCGCCTAGCAATGTTGAAGAAGTCCGACCTTCTTTGCCTACTCCTAAGGAGGTAAGTCGTTCTTTGTGATTGTTTTTGTTAATATATCATCTTTTTTATTGTTATATTTACTCTTTCGACTGAATATGATTCTTTCTGATAACTGTTACCTATAATCATTTCCTAACAATTGTTGAAGTTCAGAAACGACAGTACGAAGTGATAAATACAGTTTATTTTCGCGCAGCACAGACCAAACAACTGTTAAGCATATGATGTGAATACGAATATGATTAAATGAATAGGGGTTAAGAAGCAAATATATATAAGAACAACACATATAAGCGAACAATATTGTTTTCGATTAGATCGTCATCAGGCTTTACTCTAATATACATGAATATTTATATTCACAATGGGAATTTTTCATATTCTTAAATATATATAAGCTGGAGTTATCATTCATTTCAAATAACTAACATCTAATCCAGTCAAAGGACTATTTGTATGGGCTGTAACACGTGATCAATTCTACAAGCCTGGAAATGATAATGTAAAAATTGTGGGTAAAATTTTATCGACTTGTACAACGTGTACAAACTTAAATGTAGGTGGGAATGCTGTTTAGCCCCGTGTAATTTAAATCACAATATAATCGTTAAGTGTCTCAGCGTAATAACCATGTATTTTGTTGTCAGATCTGAACTTCATTCATGGTTCGCTCTTGGTAGTATATCAGCGTGGTGACTTCGAAACAAGTTTTGAACGTACACTGCTTTAGCATATCATGTATTAACAGTAAAGATTTATAGGTGTGAATCAGATCGCTACAGATACGGCGGAATCGGTTTCCCATCGGTAATCAAAATACTTTGTTATTTCAAAATATTCATCGAATTTCGACAGTCATTTTATACAATATTCGTTCGAGCATTTTTCTTATGTGATATTAGATGAGTGAAGTAGTAATTAAACAATTTCTGGATTTCTTTTTTTTATGCATAATTATTTTATGAAATATTAAATTTCAATATTCCCATAACTTGCGTTTCCCGACCGTAGCTACTACCTTGACGTGGTGGTCAAGCTTGCCTATCGTGATGACCCAACCGAGCTATACTGGCTGCAACATGTGTTTCTGAAGGTTCTACCATGCCAGGCAGGTCGATTGGAGAACGATCAGACTAGAAGCAGCAACTCAAGGTCTGAGGGCGAAGTCGTACTGCTGACTGCAGAGGGGTTTGAGAGCAGCAAGGTGTTCCTTTCGGACAACCAGCATCTGCAGCGATGCTGCCTTCTCACAATGAAGGAAGGGTTAGAAAAGGTCGACACTAGGAGTGTCGCATCTCACCTTACATCACGGATTTCCGTCTCCGGCGGTAAGGGCTGCCCACTAAGGGCCTTCAAGAGCGGAGCTAATACCCAAAAAACCTTTTACAAACAGGTCGTGCGTGACCGGCCTCAATCAATTGTCCCTTGGACTCTGCGGTCACGCTCCTAGGTCTCCAAGACCAACACTAATCTATCTTCCTTTTCAGGTCCCTCAAGAAACACCCTTCCACGATGTGGGCAGCGGGAAGTAACATCTGCCTTCATACCCATAAAAGCACACGGGACCAAATTGATCAGAATCTAATCCTTTCTACACCTCTTAATAACTCTCAGACATCGTAAGGAAACCTCTTAGGGTTCTACTCAAATCCTAAATCTTTTAATTCCTCACCACTTTATCTTTTTAAGTCTATTTCACTAGATTCTATTTCTTGTATAATATCTAATCCTAACCTCTCCGACTACTGCTAATACCTTTACTACCTTTACTACTATTGGATCTGAATTGACAATTATATCTCTGTGCTAATGTGGTATGGCAATATGAACTGATGTACGTAGGTACGAAGTTCTACGTTGCTATTGATTGATTGATTGATAACTTGAGTTTAGTCGTACAGCTTTTCTTCAAATCCTCAGTAAATTTAATCGACAAAAGTTATTCTTTTGATACTATGTACTGACAGTGGTTATCTAATGTACATTTTATAAATATCTTGAAGATAATCAAATGTTAGGTCAACCTTTCTGCTACGTTCATACACCGTGTTAATTTCGTTACTCTAACTTTAATACCTCGAAGAAAACTACTTCCATCCTCTATTTTTGCTATCTCATTAACTATGCTGAAAACATTAGTTTTATAGATTAGTCAATTATCTATCACTAAAACGGTAATTAGAACATTTAAACTAAGGGATTGTCATTCACGCAAAATATCGTGAAAATATATTTGAATCCTGTAACATTAGTGTTTACACTCAATAATGATTTATGACAACGGAATATCAACCTAATTCATATTGATTTATTTAACATTAATTGTAATTTAAGTCCCAAAAATACGTCGATACACTTTGACACGTTGTTTTGCGACACAATAGTTACTGGCTAAGTATATTTATTACCTAGTACCTAATAAAATCTAAGTAGGATATTACAAAGTTTGCATTTTATTTGAGACTAACTATAAAGTATTTCACAGGCCTTCAAAATATCAGTCATTTTGTGGTGGAAATTTTTCGTGCGCATTATATCTTTAAATGTTATGAAGTTCAAGGTAAAGAAAGTCCAGTCTATGAAATTACAAACGGATGACTTCACTCAATCATGATTTATCGAAATGTACGATACAAATTAGAGTATAGGAGTAGACTAAGCAGTATATATATATGTGTGTGTGTATAAAAGTTTAATTTTTCATTTTGATTTTGAAGTTATTAAGATGTTAAAAAAAATTAACAATTGTAAACCTTATATGAAGATTAGTTGATTTTGTTCGTCTGACTAGTTTTTGTTAATTGTCAGTTGGCGTTATTCGTATTGTGCCAGTTTTGTTTTTCAATGATTGAATAATCGTTATTGACGTATTTTTTGGAGTAAAATGAGTTGAATATAAGTAACAATCTAATTAACAGATAGATAGACAGACAGACAGATACAACGCAGAAATTCGTACATAAGTACATCAGTTCAGGTTACCATACCACATCAGCACGGAAACGCAACTGTCAGTTCAAATTCAAGAGTGATAACGATAGTAGAAGTATTAGCAGTAATGGAGAAGATTAGGGAGCGAAGATATGATTCGAGAAGTATAATTCAGTAAGATAAATTTAGAAGGAGAAAGATAGAGATTATGATTAATTCAGAAGGTTAGAATTAGAGAGAACACAAAGAGTGGATGCACCTGCGCCATTTGAAACGATTCTGATTCATGTCGTTTCAGGTCTCTAACCATCGGTGACTTTCATCTCGCGGACTCCAACTAGGTAACCTACATCTACCAACATGACTCAGTCCACTTGTCAGTGACTTCATGCATTTCTGCCATGTTTTGTTCAACACAAATTATGTATGTTAACAATGCTAATTGCTGTTTGAATAACTAACTAACTAACTAACTACACAAAGTTTTTCCATAGTTCTGGTCAGTTTACTCAACTTCGAAGAATAGTTGAGGTTTTCTCATCAATAAATATTTCAAATTCTTGAGAATACAAGATGGAAAACATTGTACTATACTACTGAGAGGACGATTCATCGCAGTCATTACATATTAGTGTTGATTTTAACCACTACTTGTTTACACTTAGAAATATTATTGGCTACCATTAATTTCTTATAATAAAATAATCTGATGTTGAATATTGTGGTAGCATATCTATAAATTATTCTTAGGTTTGTATCGATTGCGTCGTGTATTAGTCATTGGGTGTAGGCAGTGTCTACCGAAGACTGTGTATAAGGTTGCGCAACTCCGTGAATTTGATCAAGTTAGACATTAACACCGTTAGGTACCGGCTCAGTGGTCCAACGGTTAGGGCGTTCGCGCACAATACCGAAGGTCCTGGGTTCGAATCCTGCGGGGTGCAGGAGTTGTGGATGCGCACTGCTGAGGAGTCCCATACCAGGACGAAACGGCCGTCCAGTGCTTCCAGGTTTCTAATGGTGGTCTAACATTGATCGATTCATGGTTTCAACAATATATACATTGAGTCAACCGAAAGTGAACTCTATTGCTAAACTGTAAACGGATGTATAACTTCATTATTTTTCTCTTTCTCAAACCAATGTCAACTAAATACAATCGGTACGAGACAATGGGATACAAACTCTCTAATAGTAAAATAAAGACAGATCAATAAATCTTATCGATTTCTTCATGATTATTATTACTAATTATATATATATATATATATATATATATATATATATATATACTTATTTATTATCCTTGTAAATATTCTATTTACTCCTATTTATCTTAGATACATCCATACTTAGATCGTTATGTAATAGGTCAAAATAAAGCCAAACAAATTCTAGCTGTTCAAGTCTATGCTCATTACAATCGTATACAATATAATCGATTAATTAGCACATCGGAATATAATAAATTTAATTCAACTTATTCAACTGTAGAAACAAATCCTACAATAAATGAAGTTAAAACCCCTGTAAATAATCATCATTCCTCAGGTGAACAACTTTCAGATACACGTCCTCCTGTACCTGTAAATCATCATCGGAGCGGTTCAACTCAACCTTCTGTAGGAGGTATGAATATTTAACCAGTTGTTCATATTGTATGTGTGTATCCATTTTAAAGATTGGTCCTAAACACTCATAATTTTGTCTTTGAAAAAGTTTTTTTTAATTTCTGCAAATAAAAAGGGTGTGTTAACCAGTCTATTAAATATAACACTGCAGGTGATAAAATAGTTCATTGTGTAAACAAGGAAATTGCTACTGACACCATTATTATTACTATTATTATTCTGTTTATATCTGCCTATTGTTTGCTGAATTAGTTTGTAATAATGATTGACCCAGAATATTCAGTAGGTTTGATTTCTCATGTTACATAAATTAATTTCTGGTACTCGCTATTCCAACTTCAATACGATCGCATAATTAGTGATGTAGATGAAATCATCGATCCTACTCATATCGTTGATACTGTCGACCAACCAAACCACCTCGTTAAGAACAGCGCGGGTATAAAAAAGTCGAATGCTAGTATTTTGGATGTTTGTATCCCATAGATTCATTTCAGTGGACATAAAACAGATGAGATGCGTATGGGATGAGTGTGTGTACCGATTAAAATACTACTCATTTTAAACGTTGCTATGGTTCAAAATCGATAATGCATAGTGTACTACATGACGACAAGCAATAAATAATATAACAAATATCTAGACCCACAGGCCCATACGAAACGCTTAAGCGTAGTTACAAAGACATGAGTAAGCTGAAGGTTATTACTTCCTATGAAAAGAATGGGGCTATTAAGAGGATGAAAATGACTTGTTGTCTGTGATTTATTAAACCTTGTCCAAAGGCCTAGAATCAATCACACATATTATGTGCATAATAACGTAGTTACTGTGACTTTACCTATCTTTCTATGGTTAGTAGTATATTCATGTTGGTTTTGAACAATAGTCATTCTTGTTTGTTGCTGCATTTTATGCCTGAGAAAGCAATCATTTTATTGATTTACTGGAATTTATTTGTCTAAATGTATTATCCATTACTAGGTAACACCCAACGGTGTATAAATCAGCAGACAAATACGAAGAGTTAAGGACATTATATTTTCGTACCACACATATCACAAAACCACGGGCATAAGACCTGAAGAGCAAGAGAGTGAATGATCCAGTGATCACGTGAATAGGATCAAAACGTACATGTATATATACATTGGAAAATGAATGAGTCATCACCGACTTATTTAAGAGGCTAATATTAAAGCGAATAAAATGAATATGCACATAGGCTGTAAGCCGATGCTCAAGCCTAAATGCCCATACAAAACACAACAATAATAAAAGCACTGTAGTACAAATATAGTTGTTGCTATACAAATATCTCTGTTAGGTTAATCAAATGTATATGACGTGCTATATATATATATATATATATATATATATATATATTTTACAGAGTCGCTCGTTCATTCCTTTATTCTTATTTTGTCTATTCACATTGAATTCAATGCACTCATTCATTCTATTGATTTTTTAGAATTACTTGAATTTTTGCGCAATAGTTCAGTAAGTTCGTCGAAAAATTCATTTACAAATGGAAACAGTACAACAGGTTCATTGCCATCCGCTGTAACTTCGGATTTGTCTGAATCAGAAGATGATATGGAAAAAACGTTTTCGTGGTACACAAATGATTCGAAATGATTGTGATCAACCAGTAAAATTAGAAAAAAGCAACATTATAATGTTAGGTCCAACTGGTTCAGGTAATGTAAGAGTGTTAAGATTATTCATTTTAAAAAAATTGAATTTATTTTACATGATGAAAACATAGTTCTTATCCTTCTTTCCTCTCTCTCTCTCTCTCTCTCTCTCTCTCTCTCTGTACTCCATCACTCAAAAGAAAGAAAAGAGCTGTATAACGGTTAAGTAAACATATTATTTATCATCATTCGATCACTTACAACACACTACTGATGTGTTTTATGTGAAGACTAAATACTTGAAAAAAAACAGTTAACCAATTATATTCGTCAGTTAGTTATGTTATAGTCAACGGTGAGCATTAAGAACTGTTAGGATAATTTTCTTAAATGACAATCGGGACCTGGTCGCTTCTAGTACTAGTGGTGGTTGTGATATTGTTATGCGATTCATATTTACATCTCTTAATACTTATGTACGTCAATAATGGTCGTTTATTAGTAAACTACAAGTAACGCATGACTTGTAGTATTCAAGTTCCAATAGATTGTTAGGTCGAACATTTGGTATATTGAGTCATAGTTTTATTGAACATTCAAAGTGACTATTACATTGTAAAAATGCTGGTAACAATATACGATTCAACATGTATTGACTGTTCACATATCGATTATACTTAACTGCCTTACATTCGAATAGGTATCATTTCCTAATTTATGGAAAAAGTATCAAAAAAATAATGCAGTGTCCTTTTTGTTTCGAAGAGTCAGAAAAAGGAAGATGTAGAACTTGGACTAATATCCTTAGATTAGTTTGCATCTATTTTATGAGTATTTATCTAACAGCTGATTTATAGTAATTTTAAAACATAGTGTCTTACTGTTAGTTCTCTTTTCACTAATTGATTTTTCACAGTTTAAATCGTGAACTAATATTTCCAAGGTTAGTATCAAACCTTGGAAGCACAGGACTGCTGTTTAGTCCTAATATAGGGCTCCTCAGCAGTTTTGCGTCTACTACCACCGATATGGAAATCGAATCTTGTTGAAGAACGCCTAATTTCTAAATCAATGAGTCGTGATCTAACGGTATACACGTATGACTTCAATCATGTGCTCATTAGTGACTACCTTTGAAATTTAATTCCTAGAGTTTTAATGATAATCTATGACCAATGGAGTTCCATCAAGTTAGGCGTGATATGGTCATTTGTCCCGGGCAATGGAAGATAGTCGTCACCACGATATCTCTAATTGGTTTAAAGTTAGACATGTACTGTCTCACATCCAACTGACTGACTGAAATTTACTGGCCACTGTCTCACTAGAACTCTAGAAGTTGCATCTTCAAGCTGGCCATTAGTCAACGTATGGTTTTTGTTATCCGTCCTAGATTGGGAATATTATCAATCGATTCATTTAAACATATTAAAAAAGTTACCCCAGTGTTGTGGCAAAAATGTCTTAGTCATGGATACTTATTGGATTTTGTACTTATAGACAG